AATAAGTTGAAGTTAAAGAGATTAATATACTCCTTCTTGAATCAATTCACTGTTACAACACAAAGACCATCGGAGGGATCTAGAAAAAGAATAGAAGAGAAAGATGAAAACACAGTAGGAAATAATGGAAAGACAAAAATGATAAAAGCAAAGGTAAAAAAGGGATGAAGGGGAAATAAAGTGAGAGGAATGGAAAAAATATAAAAAAATATGAAACAATGAGAAGAAGCTTTAAAATAATATTTAACATGATTGTATTGTAACCAATCCATACTAAGAATGAGGTTAAAATTTTGACTCGACACCACTTGCAACAATTGAAGTTCTCCCACACATATAACTAGGTCCACCTCATCTCATGCATATACATGTGTATAGTTGTTGCCATAAATAGTAAAGATTGGCTTTATAGTACAACACAATTGTAAACGGCAACATGTGGTAATAGGTTGAGCAATAAAAGAAAAACTTGAGCCTATCAACTAATATGAAGAGAATAATAAAAGATCTCTTGTTATAGAAATAGGCTTAAAAAATAAACACTGGATGAACTTATGCTAAGTGAACCCCTTGATAGTACTTTCGAAAGAAGAATGGAAGGGTCACTAACTTATTCGCATAAAGGCCTTCCACTACTTATGCAACTCCTTGTTTTTCAAAAGAATCTTTGTGTCAAGACTTTTTACCACAGTAGCACCAATAGGATATTATTAATGCCAAGGCCCCTACCCAAGAAATGAAGGACACTAATCTAGAAAACATTGATAACACCAATACATGTAGTCAATCTTATCACATACTTAATAGTAGATATCACAGCCATAATTATGTCCTTGCCCTTGTCCCTAAACACTAGTAACAATATATTGGAACAAGACCATCTCCCACATAAAATGGTGATAAAGGACATGTAGTAAAAAGTGGAAGAGGCAACATGTTATAATATTATGTTTGTCTAAGAGTATTGTCAAAGGTGGCTAAAGTAAATGTATGCACAAGTCCCGTAAAATTTTGACAAAGTGTTAACTACAACATTCTCAACTTGATCCACTTTGATATATTTGGTTTCACATGAAACAAACTCTAGAAATAAACATTTAATTCAATCATTGACTCAGATGGCCCTTGACAAAAACAATGCAATTGTTGAAAAGCATAATCACAATTATCAATATGTCCAAATGTTAAGAGAATGCTCCAATTTACATGAGTGGCTGCACTTAAACCATTTTACCACTATAATACCATCCCTTGGAGACATGTAAAAAATTCATACAAATACTAAGTATCATCTAAAGAATGATAAGTAACAATTTGTGAGACACAAAATCCCTAGGCCCCAAAGTGGAGCCAGAAGGGTGCCACGTGGTAGTGGCTGAAGCGAAAGCCAAACAAGCGTAACATGTTTGGATTGAAAGCTCCAACTTGAAAGGTTTAGAGCGGGAGTGGAACTCCCAATGAAGTGCTCAAGGAATAAGCACGAAGTGAGCGATAAGTGAGTCTCTAGAAAAGGGACACAAGAGGACCTGAGATGGACCGAAATAGAGTCTGAGATGGAGTCCAAGAAAGACCCCGAGATGGACCCGAGACAAACCCAAGATGGAGTCCGAGATGGACCCAAGATGGAGTTCGAGATGGACCCAAGATGGAGTCCGAGATGGACCCAAGATGGAGTCGAGATGGAGTCTAAGATGGAGTCCGAGATGGACCCGAGATGGAGTCGAGATGGAGTCCAAGATGGACCCGAGATGGACCCGAGATGGAGTCCGAGATAGAGTCTGAGTTGGACCTGAGATGGACCTGAGATGGAGTTCGAGATGGAGTCTAAGATGGAACTGGGACTAAGACCGAGATTGAGACCAAGTCCAAGACCAAGACCAAGTCCGAGACCGAGACCGAGATCGAGACTGAATCCGAGTCCAAGTCCGAGTCCGAATACTAATATAGACAGTTAGATGAAAGCCCAAAGCAATTGTCCTCTGGGGGGAGGGGGGGTTGGAGCCCAATGGAGCCAGTTTGGCCAAGAAAGGCTAGTTTGGCCTAGGAAGGCTGTACCCAAGTGTTAGGTGATGAATTGACCACTGAGAAGTCCAAGACTAAAGTGAATATAGACTGACAAGTAGAGTAGCTTGGTGAAGTGTTCAAAGGCTAGCTTTAGTTCCCCTGGGAGATCAAATGGTCGATGCTCCCAGTCCAAGTGTGGGTGGTGTCAGGAATCCCCCAATTCTTGCCACATTCCTGACTCTCGCCGGATTCCTGACTTGCAGACCACATTCCTGACTCTCGAGACACTTCTCTATTCCTGACTCTCGAGACACTTCCCTATTCCTGACTCTTGAGATACTTCCCGATTCCTGAGTCTCGAGCCACATTCCTGATGATGATGTGGCGCCTCCTCGACCTCAGCTGTATTTAGGCTGTCCTCGATCCAAGAGTGGTGGAGCTTCATCAACCTATAGTATATATAGGTTAGCCTTGTTCCATTTCTCCACAATCTGAATCAACACCAGTCTAAGGCCTCTTCTTTGTTTTCACTAGCTTTTTCTCTTTGTCTTTAGCATTTTCCAGTCTTGATCTTGTTGGGGGTCTTGACAGGTGGCACTACCTACTTGGATACCTGGCATGGCTCAACAGAACCTCACTCTAAGCTCATGGCTATAGCACCCAAAGGCGGAAGGCGAAGAGAGTACCCATAAGGCCCGCGTAGGGCTATAGTATTCCGAAATGTTGTCCCAAAGTCTCAGACTATGGAAAGGAAGAGGAGTAGCCCTTTGGTGTGGTGACCAAAGACACAGTCGCACAATGAGGAAGTCCTAGAGGATAGTGGGACTTAGTGGTCAGGTCTATGGGCCTTGATCAAGTGGCAATGTTGGCAAATACAACCATAGACAGGAAGGGACTTGGTAGGGACCGGAACGAAGATGTTGGGGAAGGCTATTCCCTATGTCTGCAGACATCCTAAGGATGCAAAGGAGTGGATCTGGGATAACCACTCATGGACAGATGGCCCAGTCTTTGAGAGACGGGATTGCAATGCAAGTGGTGTTGGACCACTGATGTGACCAAGGTTAATGGGCATGGCCTAGCGTAATGGGCTAATATGTTGGTGGTACCTTGGGGTGTCGATCATAGGATTGGACATGTGGAGCATTTAGACCAAATGCAAAGGTTGAGTGGCATAGATGCCATTCTCGGGGTTAACAAGCCCCAAGTCCTGAATTGGACTTATGGAGGTTGTGAGTGAGACTCTTCCTAATGACTGGAGCGGTGGTTAAATGACTAAAGTAGAATGAAAATACTAGTCACTTACACAATCACCATAAAGTGATTGAATCAATGATACATATTATTCTTAAAATTCTCATAAAAGAATTCTGGTGGAACATAAGGATTGGTAGTAAGTGTGGGAGGAATTGTACCATACGCTGTGAATATTGTCATCAATTAAGTTTGATTGTTTAATTGCAATTGTATAACATTGAGCAATTGCATCAACTACTATTTTAAAGTTAGAGCTATTGCTCTATTATGAAAATGAACGAAAAAGAAAAAAAAACAAAAAAAAAAAATTAAAAAAGTTATAAGGAAGTGAGATTTAAATAATGATAAAGTTAAATCTAAACCAAAATCCTAAATCCAAGCATTTCTTAGAGACAATCAAAGTTGCCTCTCACCTCCACCAATGTGAGTGTATAGAATATGACAATGTAGTATAGAAATGTGCATATTAATTAGCTCAAAAACCTTAGATTTTATATAAAAGTGAGTGGTTTGCTAACAGCTTTCAAAATCCCATTATGTTAATATTAACATGTTACATCATAACTATATACTTGGATTTCAAAAAATAATTACTATAAATATTAACTTTTATTTTAAGATTACAAGGTGTAAATAATGGTATTTATAAAGTTATTTCAATACTTGTATTTTGGAACACTAAAATATAGAATGTTGCAAACTATATATTATAATAGATTAGATGAAAGTTTTCTCTCAATATAGTATGTAGCCCATTCTTAACAGCTAAATCAACTTTTAAATTTTATTTACTAAATTATAATTTGATACAAAATCACTTAAGCATAAAAATATGAATTATTTAACAAAATTATTTAAAAATTATAAAGTTTTATTAATGCTCACTTTTTGCAAGTAACTTATACTTCCTTAACTTTAGTTGGGAGTGCAAAACTATAAAAATAGTTTTCTTGGAATATATTAAACCTCTCATATTAAAATTATATCATTAGTTATTATTGTTGTATTCCTATGTTTTTCATTTATAAATATTACAAAATACTATCTATTAAACCTTCAGCACTATTTTTTAAAATTATTTAAATAATATTTACTAATTTTTTTAAAATGTTGTTAGTTGTAGAAATTAATTTTTATATAGGTTCATATTTAAATTTAAATTTAAATTTTAAAAGTTAGTCAAAAGCTTTAAAATATGTAGTATTCTGGTGGATTAATTGGTATGAGAAAGCATATTAAATTACTTATATATATCTTTTTAAAATAAAATGAAATAAAACTAATAATGAATATAAAAATAATAATATAAATTTAATATTGACATATGTATGTCACTCTATATCTATATCTATATCTATATCTATCTATCTATCTATCTCTCTCTCTCTCTCTCTCTGTATATATATATATATAAAAGTTTTTTTGAAATTTTTATGTCATAATAGATTATGAGGTTTTAAATTATTGTAACTATTTACAAATTCTCATCTAATTTATGAAGGTAAAAAGTTATATTTTGATTCATCAATGATTCACATAACAAAATTTTGTTACAATACAAAAACTGAATTTAAACAGTAAATGTTTTTCAAGAAGACAAAGGATATTATGATCCACTTTTAGTTTACGTTTTAAAAATAAAAATTTAGTATTTTAATTTATCAAAACATATATATTCTACAAGTATATATATTATTTCTAAAGATTAGTTTGGTATTAATTTTATTTTAGGGCTGCTCCCTGATGGAACGCGGCAGATTGACTGGTGCGGGGAACAACAGTCACGGCATCAGCGTCAAGTAAGAAATCTTCCACCTTTTCCCTCTTAATTTCGATCTTTTCTAGTGGCGCCTTTGATGGCGCCCCGGCCAAGTCTAGCCAAGGACGCCGCAAAGCTATGCGCTGGTACTACACTCACAAACAGTCTCTCGGGTTTGGCCCCATTCTCTCCTTTCTTTATGCCTTTAGCTCTAGTGTCAACTAGAGAGATTCCTCCGGCTGGGAATTCGAAGAGGGCGATGAATTGGAATTGAAGAATGAGGAGCCGGAGCTTGTAAAAGCCTGGATCCGGCAGGATGATCTTTTTCAAGAGCTGCTTTTGAGCTAGGGACCGGCGGGTGTAGGAACCTCGTTGATGTACAAGGTGCGGTTAAGGCACTTCACTGTGCTGGACAAGAAAACTTCTTCCTTTTGTTTTGGTGGACATAAATTCTAAGAAACTCGCAGTGCCCATCTAGAAGCATGAGATATTATGCAATGAAGTGCAGTTTATTACTTTGTCAAACTCTCCACCTGCCCTGCTCCTTGCTTTGGCGGTAAGCATGTCGACAAAGAATTCATGTACGTTGCTTTCTTCTGCCGACGCATAGTGGAGCAGGTAAGCCAAGCTCAGATCATCTGTTCGTTCATGTTGACAGTGTAGCAGAGAGAAGGCTGGCGTTCTCGTCACCCAGACCACCACCGCACCACAAAAGGAAAACGTACATCTGACGGGATTGAATCCCGAAATCTCAAGAACCTGTTGATGCTTCGGCCAGTAGTGGCTGTTTTTAAAAGCCCCTGAAACGTCTGTGTATCTTTTCAAAGTTTCTTTTGCTATTGGCAATACAATGCATCAATACAAAGATCCTCTTCCACATCACGAGTCTTAACTGCTGGGAGAGAAACATCTAATTGTAGTCTATGCATCATTAGTCTGTCTATCTTTTGCTTCCCAAACCCAATCCTCCAAAACTTTTCATGTGCGTTTGAATGATGATCCATCTTTAATTCAGACCATGGATAAACCATAGCATTGTTAGTGCAACCCAAAAGCACGATATTTGGATTTACTTTTTGCATTGCGGCAAGTCCAACGTCATAAACTTGTATTGCATTCGTTCGTTGATGGGCATACTTGCCATTTTGGTCCCACTGTATTGCAACCAAAGCTTGAACCAAAGTGCAATTTGCTATCATTGACAGTTCCAAAGCCCAAATTATCAAACCAAGAGCTCGGATCAAACTGTTTTCTCTCCGTAGCCTTAGTACTTCCCGATCTTGCAAATGCTCTGATTGACTAAAATAATACATTTGCAAGAAATTGATCTCTTCACCAGTAGCTGCAACACCTGAGGATTCATCATCCACCATGATGGTCCATGGAAGCTCAAAACCCAAGTTCTCCAACTTCTTTTTGTAATCCCAAGAACCAGATTCCTTTGTCATGTGAGACATAGAAAAGATATTGTAGCTACACCTTAAGCAGCAACCCTCCATGATCTGTTGCACAAGAGGTATGTTCCTACACTCTCTACCCGAGCTAAAAAAATGCATCTGCACATTGGGGATTGCATTGAGAACTGACAAGAATTCAGAACTCCCATGCATTGGTGTGTAAAAGGCATTGGCTACATGATATACATACTTTGAATTTTCAGTTTCCCTGATTAGTGTTTCATCTAAATCTAGAATAATATAGCAATTTTGCATTCTGTTATACTCCCAATTTTCCTTGCTCTCTCTCTTCCTCTAGATCTAGACTTTGCAAGTGATAAGCTTGCCCTAACCCTTATGGCGAATTTGCAAGTGATAAGCTTGCCCTAACCCTTATGGCGAATTGCCTTTCGTGTATTCTCAATATATTCTTTATTTCCCTTTGATATAGATTCAACCTTCCTTTCTAGAATTTCTGCCGACTTTGTAAGAAATCAGTGGCTCGAGAAATCCTAGTCCGAGATTTACCACTTCTTTGGTCAAGTCCCTGAGGCCCCCGAGACAGGAAAGTAACGACGCAGTAAAGTCTCCAAAACCACACAACTCGAGGAAAATTGCCAACAGAAATTGCAACAGAGCAACAGCTGAGAGGAAATCGAAATGAAAGTGTTCAAAAGCGAAGCCTGATGACGGAGAGCTTGGACGACGTAACCTTTCACCTCGTTCGCATTAACTATAACACCAACAAAAAACGAATTGTGTCTTACTTGCCTTTGCGACAGAGTCCTGGATCCACCGTCGCCACTGCCTTCGAGAAACTGGAAGACGAATACAGTCAACATCAAAGGAGCCAAGACAATGCCATGATGAAGATCCCGTGGCATTAACAGGTTAGATTTTATCCGTGCAGCCAGTGATCCCAAAGCTCATCAGCAGTGGCAGGAGACGAGAAGAAAAGCTCCACCACGAAGTTTGGAGCTCAAGATGATCAACGCCGAGCTCCAAAAGGAGAGGGAAAAACATTGGGTAGAGTGGATTCGCAAGCGTCTCCCAACAGATAGAAAAGTCTTTCTTCAAGGAGCTCATCGCTGATTTTGGATTTGGTTTTTTTTTTGGATTATATAGGTACAGTGTACCGTATAAAACGTTTGTCCTCCCAGAAATTGTCTTGGCGAGCTGGGGCATAGATTTGTTATGTGCGCGATTTTTACTGTGGCGTTTCTATGCGAACTCCTGACGCGTTTTTCTTGTTTGATCTCTATCGTGTGGTTCTCTAGAAATGATCTGTTGTTCAGGTATTGGGAACTCAGGGAAAGCAATTTTTCTTTTTGTTATAAACTTGGTTTGTCTTCTTTTTTGGGGGGGTTGCGGATTCTAGCAGTCCTCTGGTTGCGAGATTATTTTTGGAAATTATCTAGTCGCTTTGAGACCTGGACGCCGTGGGAGGCCTGCACGAGTTTATGAACTGGCCACTGCTCACGGATTCCGGTGGCTTTCAAATGGTGAGCTACCTTTCTTTTATTGCGACTCAGGTATCACTTTACACTTGGCAGACGTCAAGTGACATTTCTGTTTTAATGTTTTTTTGGATCGACTGGTTGCAGCCGCCTGTGGATGGTGTTGCGTTGCTCATTTAGCATTTCAAAATGAATCATCCAAGAAAGAGATGAAGAGCGAGAAGTATCCTTAGAGACTTCTGGTGTGAGGAGCATTTGCGCTGGGATGGATGTGCCGCTGTGGACAAGTTCCAGGGTGTACATGCTAAAAGACCATGATTTTATCTCTTTGCTAGCGCTCATACAATTACTTTGTGAAATGCTCAAGAAGATCATAAATGCCAAAGGAAACGAGAAGAACTATGGATGATGATCACGCTTGCGACACCTTTTTTAAATTACGAGCATCCTCTTCAGGTTTTTGGATATTTTCACTAGAACACCATCCATCGAGCAAGACTACATTTGACAGGACATCACCCCGCTTGCGAGATGTTTGTTTTTTTTCTTCTTCCTTTTAAATATTTGTTTTCGTGCACTCCGCCTTGAAATGTCTTTGTTTTCTGTTCTGACATTGTTTTCGTCCTATAATCAGGTCTATCAGTGTACACAATGGGAAACGATGGCCAGAAATGGACAGCTCCAAAGAAAAACCAAAAGCTCTACCAAGTTTCCAAAGTTCTGCATCAACATATCTAGTAAGAATGCAACGAGAGATTCTCAGCACATCCAATTACTTGTGCTCCCCCTGGAGCCTCCAAATAGAAAGAATGGCCAAACCAAAAGAGGATTCCACACCTACCTAAAATCCGCAGCAAAAAATCATTACCTGGTTTGGCCTCAGAGGTGAGCAAATGGTTCTTTAGGAAGATCATTTGCCAGTATGGGGCTCCTCACACGGTTCTTTGGGACAAAGGAAATTTTCCGAAAGATGCCTCAAATCGGCCAGGGTATAGCATCGCACCATATCAACACATTGGGTATGTGTGCAAATGGACGCTCACCACAAAGAACTTCCTGCAAAATTGGGAGCAAGCTATTCTAGGATGCTTGATGGGGTATTAGGCGACCAGGCAAGAAAATACTCCAATGATGTAGTACATTTGAGATCACCATATGGTTGAGGTGGATTTAGAGAGTCACAAACTCTCACATGTGTATGTATAACAATGATGATATCTTAGCTATAGAGTTTCTCTTCTTCTTTAGTTTTCAATAGGATATTCCATATAGAAGACCCATCACCAACTTGACGAAGATCCTCATCAGCAGATCTTACTGACTACATCAAGAGTAATTTTTCAAATATTGCAAGTCAAACTTAGAACATGTGCAAGTGGCATAAGTCAAGAAGTATAGAAAAGAATTTATGGATGGAGGGACCCTTGTGAAGAGAGGAGCATCTAAATTGCCTAATATAAATATAAATAAATATAAAATTAATTATGAGGTCCAAAGTGTATTGCTATGATGTTGTATATTAATATTAGCATAAAGGCGTTAGATTAGTTTTAATCTGAACCACTTACACCTGTATATAAGTTAAAGTTTTTGGGCTAATTGATATGCACATTTTGTATTTTATTTTTATATTCTGTGCATTCACAGAACTACAAAAATTTGCATATCAATTAACCCAAAAACCTTAATTTATATACAGGAGTGAGTGGTTTGGATTAAAACCAATCTGACAGCTACTAAAATCCCACTACGCTTATATTAATATACGGCATGGTAACCACACACTTGAACCTCAATCATCCCCTCCTCTCGGAATGATGGAAAACTATCAAAGTCTTTTTATGGATGGACTAGGACTTCGAGGAACATCAGGAGGAGGCATTAATGGATTTATAGGTGGTGCCAATTGTTCTTGATCCTTTTATACAAAGCATTTCAACTTTTGCACATGCACAATTTCTGAAGGATCGATCTATTGAACATCATGCCAAACCTTATAAACTTGTAATCCAACTTGCCGCAACATTTGATATGGTCTTTTCCACTAAGTAAGAAGCCTTTTAGATAAACCACGTATCTTAATATGAGGAAAATAGACTAATACTAAGTCATCCACTTTGTACTCTACAAATGGATAATGATGGGAGTTATAGTGCTATTGTTGTTCAACTTATACGCAGCTTAAGTGTTCAATAGACTCTGTTTGGACAAGTAGAAGAATGCTCATTAAATATTAATCCCATGACCTAGCATCGGTAGTTCATGGCAATTGCGAAGGTAAACCTAACTCCATTGGTGATATTGAATCATAACTATATAGGAGTTTATATGGTGAAGCACCAATAGAACTCTGCACCCCTGTAACATACACATACAGAAGAGATGGCAAATAATCATTTCAATTTGAATGCTGAAAATTCATGTACGTCACGATCATCCTTTTGAAGGTCTAAATAAACCATTTCACCAAACCTTCTGACTGTGGATAATAAGAACTCATGAAAGTGTGGCATATCCCCAACCGAGACATCAAAATATGAAATGCCTCGGCTATAAATGTAGGACTATTATCCAAAAGAATCTACTTTAGATAAGAATGCTAGAACACCACTTGATTGAAGAGGAAG